TTCATTTGACTGGGCATTTTTCCCCCCCAAAAAAACCAGCAGAAAAAAATATTGCAAATCGTGGTCACATGACTGCAGAATGCTGCAACAGGTTGTAAAGGTGACTGGTTGCCAAGCACCCAACATGTAGTCTTGTAACCATGAAGGGGGTATGCAACCATTTATGATTGCCGGGGGTGCTTTACAAGTTGTAAAACCATGACCTTTCAAAGTGCAAATGATCATGAAGCAACCTGTATAAAGTTTTTATACATGTTGCTTAAGGATGTGGTGACTCGGTGGCTAAGACGCTGAGCTTGTCAATCAGAAAGGTCGGTAGTACATCAGTTCGAATCCCTAGCACCGCATAACTGAATGAGCTCCCGTTACTTGTCCCAGCTTCTGCCAACCTAGCAGTTTGAAAGCATGTAAAAATGCAAGTAGAAAAATAGGGACCACCTTGATGGGAAGGTAACAGCGTTCCATGCCCCTTCAGCATTTAGTCATGCCAGCCACATGACCACGGAGATGTCTTCAGACAATGCTGGCTCTTCATCTTTGTAACAGAGATGAGCATTGCCCCCTAGAGCTGGAAAGGATTAGCACATAAATGGGAGGGGAACTTTTACCTTTATAAAGTTTTGACAAATTGTTCAGATGATACATTGTTCAGTATAGGATGAAAAAGCAAAAGGTGGAAATGCAAAGAACTTTCAAAGAAAGGTCAGGCTACTCGACTACAATTAGATCGATTTATTAAGAAATGACTGGCAGCCAAAGTCATAGTAAAGTTAAGCTATTATCTGATTAAATTTAATGAATTAAATAAATAGTATCCTTGTGCCATCAAGATCCTTTTTCTCACTTTTAAAGGCTTTCTCTTGTGGGTTTGCAAACAGGGCAGAAGCTTGCAATCCAATAGGCCTCATCAGAAACTGGCATGTTTCTAAGAAATTCCATTTTAATTTCATTGATAGAGGGAATAAGTCAACAACAATAACAATGCCATCATCATCTCCAAAGGCTCTCTAAGATGTTTAGCTCACCTGGGTTTCCCCTCCACCTCCCGCTTTTATTTTTTTAATTTTTTGCAAACCTAAAAAAATGTTCTCACCCAAGACATCTGGGCGACATCCAAGAAAAATAGCAGGTAAATACTACCTGGGAACAGCAAAGAACCCGCGTAACAAGTAATGTTATGAAATTAGAGTGCAGTATGTTGTTTGGGAGTATTTTTTTTTTCTGCTTCACAACACTTTTGAAAGAGTTGGACGGTCTGCCAAGATGAGAGGAGTGGATTTTAGTTTTAAAAAATACAGTAATATCATGTTGTTTTGTTTTGCAGGGTAAACTTTTGTTTTCCTTGTTTGTGTTAGGGAGTAAATGTCAGCACTTCCAAGTCATCTCCAATTTCACTTTGCTCTTTGGTCTTGCCTTTGAATGATTCAGATTTTCTTTTGCTTTTCAGCTCAATCTCTCTCATCTTGTGTGATTTGCACATGGGGGTACAAAGCTCACACTGTAGCTTTTTTTTAAGAAGGTTTGGAGCCTTAGTAGTTTTTTGCACACCTCTACACTCCCAAAGTGCATCTTGGGCAATGCATTATTAGTAATATATTCTGTTTGCCCCAGGTATTCACGTCATCATCATACAATAATCCTTTATCTGTTCTTATGTCTGCTTTGTAGTCATTCAACATGGACTTACAAGTAGAGGCAATAACATCAAAAGAACAGAGGAAAACAATGACTCAAGTAAAAAGTGTTTTCGGGGGCGGGGGGGCACCCAGCTCCTGATAACCTTGGATAGATTTCTGGAAGAAGATAGAACAAAGAAAACAAAGATCCATGTAGTTTCTATTAAGATTTCTGGAACTGTTTGTGTTCCTACGGTATGTATCTCTACCTAAAGAGAGATTGTAGGCCAATGGTGGCTAACCTTTTTTTGCTCATGTGCCAAATGTGTGTGCGTGCGCATGCAACAGCATGTGTGTGTGCCTGCACCTATAATGCAATGCGTGTATGACCCCCCTCTCCTGCTCACCCTGCCACCCTGAGGATGTGCGTGCAACCCCCCCTGCCCCCCCCGCCCGGGGCCCCCGCCCCCCCCCCCCCGCAGAGGGGTACACAAGCCCCCACACCCTGTTTTGGGCCTAGTAGGCCTCCCTGCAGCCTCCTGGGAACAAAGATGGGGCACAGGGGTGTGTGCAGCCCCTCCGTGCCCCATTTTTGCTTCCAGGAGGCTGCAGGGAGGCCTACTAGGGGTGCCATACAGGGTGGGATTCTACCAGTTCGCACCTATTCGCTAGAACCGGTTGTTAACATTCTAAGCAATTTGGAGAACCGGTTGTTAGAAGAAATTACAGGGCTAATCCTGTAAGGAAGGCAGGAAGGAAACATTCTGGTGTTGCTTACAGAAACTGCCTCTCTGTTAACCCTTATTACATTCTTGGCAGGACTAGACTTCCTGTCTCAGGAATGTCTCTGGAGTTTTTTTCCCCTCCTTTGCCGATACTTTGCTTGTGTGGAGTGAACATTCAAAGTTACAATGGCACTGAAAAAAGTGACTTATGACCATTTTTCACACTTACGACTGTTGCAGCATCCCCACAGTCATAAGACGCCAGGCGAGGAGATGCGTGCCTTGATGTGAGTGATATTGAGTTGGCCATGCCCAGCCAGTCACATGGCCACTAAGTCACACCCACCAACTAAGCCATGCCCACAGAAACAGTTGTTAAAAATTTGAATCCCATCCCTGAGGGGGTTGGACTAGAAGATTCCAAGGTCCCTTCCTATGATTCTGTGTTCTAAGAGACCAAGAGACCACACCATGCTCCGGATATAAATTATAGCAAAATTGGCTCTATATAATTGGCAATTAAATGCTTCAGAATCCACATGGACGGCTCAATAGCACTAGCCATAGCACTTAGACTTATATACCGCTTCACAGTGCTTTACAGCCCTCTCTAAGTGGTTTACAGAGTCAGCATTTTGTCCCCCACCCAACAATCTGGGTCCTCATTTTACCGACCTCTGAAGGATGAAAGGCTGAGTCAATCTTGAGTCAGGATCAAACTGCTGGCAGTAAACAGAATTAGCAGAATGAAATATGGCATTATTTCTAACCATAGTACCACTATAGTAAGCAAAGTAGGTAGGCCCTTAGTACATTATGTGGGTGGAGCTTAGATTGGCTTATTTATTTGTGTGCTTGTTATTACTGAGTTTATTGTTTGTAAGCAAACCCTCTTAAAGTTCCAGAAAGCCTCTGTTGTTGTTGTTGTTATTATTGTTGTTGTTATTATTATTATTAAGTCTTGCTTAGCAACAGAAATTTTGAGATCAACTGTGGTCATAAGTTGAGGACTACCTGTACAAGATTATAGTTGAGGGTTTGCTATCCATCCCAACCCAGTTAAATAATTGTAAATATTGCTGACTTGCTTTCTCATCAAAGAGTAATACAATGACCAAAAATGGAATGTTGGGTCTGAATTAAAACCATCTTCAGCTGCATTCACAAGGAAGATTTCACCTCATTAGTGATTTAACCCATTGTCTGGTATTGTAAAAAAGTGGGGGGGGATCACAATGTAGCCAAATGTGCTAGGCTACCCAACCTACTACCACCACCACCAATAACAAAACTGCTTAAGCTTCTCATGTTGGACAAATCAAGTTACTAATGCTATGTCTTTGATTTGGTTAGATGTGCTGTGTGAGCCCAGACATGCTCTACAGAGTGTGGCCAGTTTGGTTGGCCAATAAGATTGTTTCAGTATGATCAAATATTTGCTCTTTTTAATCCCTTCTTTAAACTTACTCCTTTAGTCACCTCCCTTGACCTTAACATTCTCTATTTCTGCTCATATTAGAATGCAACTTTTAATTCATCGATTTGCTTTCTTGCAAGTTATATAGCCTCCTTGTGTCCCCCCCCCCTGCCCCTACCTCAAGAGTTCAAGATGGCAAGTACTGTACCTTCTCTTACCATTCTTTCACAACAGCAATCCATGGAAGTAGGTTGGGCTGAGGGAAGAGACTGGCTCAAAGTCTTGTAGGAACTTGCAATGTTTGAAGGAAGACTAGACCCTGGGTTATATGCTGTTCCAGCTCTTCACCATTGGAGGAGATGAACTGTTGAGCTGAGAAGGAAGGACTGGCCTAGAGTCACCCCAAGACCATCTATGGCTGAGTTGAGCTAGAACCTGGGTCTCCTCATTTCTACTCCAACTCCTTTACCACTGCACCAGATTGCTAGCTGGTTCCTCTATGGACACTGCTACACTCCAAGTAGTCCTTGACTTAAGGTCACGATTGAGTGCAATTTTTTTGTTGCTAAGAGAGACAGTTGTTAAGTGAATTTTGCCCCAGTTCAGTGAATAGTTGTTCAGTGAATGACTGCAGATCAGTAACACGGCTGTGAAGTGAATCTGGCTTCCCTATTGACTATCTTTGTCAGAAGGTTGCAAAAGGTGATTGATCGCATGACCCCAATACACTGCAACCATCACAAATGCATGTCAATTGGCAAGTGTCCAAGTTTTGATTATGTCACCAGGAAGATACTGCAATGGTTGTAACTGTGGAAAACAGTCACAAGTCACTTTTTTCAGTGGCTTATTAACTCCGAATTGCCCCTAAATGAATGGTTGTAAGTCGAGCATTACCTGTAATCAGTTCTTTTCACACTGCGTCACAACTGCCCAAGACCTATTGTTTTTGTTCCCGGTTTGTGTCATGAACTGAGGGATTTGCTTGGTGTATACCAAATTTGAACAGGAAGACAGAATGGACCAAGGGAACATTGATTTGGGGGAAGGAGAAGGACTTCTTGGTCTGCTCTCTTATGGCAATCAACCTCTGTCCAAGATCTAAGACAGATACAATTAGATTGGTTGTAAAACCAGCCAAATAAAAGTCTGACTTAGCCCCCCCCCCCCCTCGCCACACAGAGAGAATTCCTTTCTCCTTGCACAACTCAAGAAAATTGAGACCACACCCTATTGCTCACACAAAATAAGGCATCTCATTACAGTGCCATGAGCTGGATTCCTCCGGTGCTTTTTTCATGCAGGGCAAGGAGAAAGTTTCATGGCTTAAACTCTCAAGATTTCAGAAGAGCTGCCACAAAGGAAAAAGAGACCCCTGCTTTTCTTTGGGGGTGGGGGGAGGCTGGCCAATCTGAGGACAGGCCAAAGAAGATTTGAAGAAGGTGGTGAGTAGAATTTCCCTTCTTACTGGTGGACAGACATGAGTTTCGGAAGATGAAGAGATAGACTCTCTCAGTAGAGTTTCTCTTTAAATATATATATATATAGAGGGAGAGAGAGAGAGAGAGAGATCGACCAGGTTGCCAATTCTTTAACCCTGAACAGAGATTACTGGGAATATTTTCATGGTAAAAAAAAATGAATTAAACATGATGTGTAGGTATAACTTCAGTGGATAATAAGATCATATTGCTTGTTCAAGCAACTAGCAGCCTGAGTAGGCATTTTCAGCACTCAGAGGTAAAGACTACCCATACCAGATTCTTACTACTACTTAGGACCCCACAACGAAATAGTTTGAGGGGTCCAGTTGCTGAACAGCTTGCTTAGCAGAGTTTGCTTCAATAAGAAACATCAGAAAAAAGCAAAGTGCTTTAATGTCTGTAACCAGGAAGTGCCTCTCTCCTTGACGTACCGATCTTCTTAAGCCTCATCGGTGCTCAAGTGCCTTGTGAACCTCCAAAACTGAGCTGAGCTTGGAGGTTGGGGTTTTTAAGGGAGCAATGAAGATAATTCAGTTGTTTCATCTTTTTGGCTTTCTACAGAATAGGGGGCCCTTGAAGTTAAACATTTTAAAGAACTGCAGCTAAGCACAAGGCTGGTTCTTCCGCTAAGAGGCAGAAGAAAAAGACGAAGTGTCTCAATGCACAGAAATCGGGTTTAATTGTGCATCAGGCATCTGAATAGCGACTTGGCCATCAGTCTTTTGGTGTTGGATGGCAATTATCAGGTTCTCCATACAACAAATTGCCTTTCTTTTAAAATTAGAAGCAGTAGTAGCAGTAAATTGAATGCTAGCCAGAATAAAAAGGACGTGTGTGACCTGATAGGAATGAAAAGCAGGCATGTAGAAAAATCAACCTTAATTGTTCAGTCATCTGAATGGTAACTTTCCCATCAATCCCTTGAAGCTGTATGGCAATTATCAGGTTCTCCATTCAGCAAACTGCCTTTGTTTTAAAATTAGTCATAGTAGCAGTAGTAAATTTCATACTGGTACGAAAAAAAAGCAAAACATATGTGTTCTGATGGAGATGGAAAGGAGGTAGGCAGGAAATATAAATGAATATATTGGATGTATAAATAGTATAAACTTAGGGTTTGATACAGTAAGTAGAAGGTTATTTGTTTTATGTTATAGTATGTATGGCAAAGACAAATGCCAGGAAGGTCACACTGTGTCCAATATTTTAATATTTACTCGATAAAATTAAAGAAAGAAAGAAAGAAAGAAAGAAAGAAAGAAAGAAAGAAAGAAA